GAGTTGGTTCGTTTGACATGGTGCAGTCAAATGAATGACACTACTAGGATCCTGTGTGCGCGTTTCGGAGACGCAGCACACATCGATGGAGCAAGATTCTAAAGTCGTAGCTAAGGAAGCCTGTTGTCCTATTTGGCACAGTGTTCGGACGTTGAAAGCTCCTACGTGTAGTTTAGAGCGTGGTTTCAGGAGACCAGGAATAACATTCCGCGTACTCGAATCGTTCGCACAAGCGGGGCGAGGTGATAAAGGGACGTAAGAAGGGTTAGTCGTGGAGATAAGAGTTATTAGGAGGTGTAGGAAGGATTTGAATGTGACCAACTTGGTCTCGTGTGCTGTTACGGGTATGAGGGCTGATATCACTTCCCGGTTGCCCACACTGTGGAAGGGTATTTCTTGAGGGACCTGAAAAGGAAATCGGATTAGTGTTGGTCTTAGCGACCTGAGTGCGTGACCGCAGAGCCCAAGGGACAACTGCTTGAGGCCGGTCGCTCACGGCCTTTTTGTGGGAGGTTTTTAATGTGTTAGCTCCGTTCTTCAAAGGGCCTTACCGCCGGAGACGGAAATCCGTGGGGTAAGGTGAGGCGTGACATTTTTAGGGTCAACCTTTTCTAACCCCTTCCTTCCTTGTGAGAAGGCAGCATCGCTGCAGATGCTGGTTGTCCGAGGGAAACACCTTACTGCTGTCACACCTCTGTACAGTCAGCAGTACGACTTCGCCCTCAGAGCTTGAGTTGCTGCTTTTAGTCTTACCGTTCTCCAATCGACCTGCCTGGCATGGTAGAACCTGCAGGAACATGTGTTCCAGCCAATATAGCTCGGTTGGGTCATCACGATAGGCAAACCCGACCACCACGTCAAGGTAGCACTACAAATTAAACTAATTAAAAATAAGCGTATGTTTGAGACTTTTTAACACTCTGAAAGCCGTGTACAAAAACGGCTTTCTGACGGTGAGTACGAAAATCTGTCCTAAACGTCTAGTGAAGTGAGAAATTTATATGATTTTCCATTTCTATAAATTTGAATCGAGTAAGAACAGCAGCCATAACACGATACTGTGCATTCACCTATCTTGTAGATTTTCTTAAGCTGTTTGAGAAATAAGAAATATTGGTACCAACTAGTTAAAAGACGAATGTTCTTTAGTGAAAAGTAATAAAACACTGGAAAAACGTAGAAGAGTTATAAGTCATTTTCATATAGTCGACTACTTATTCAATGTGATTATATATGAAAGTACTTTTAAATAATTACTATTTTTTCTAAGCTTAAGCAACTAAAAAGAATCGATGGAACAAGCAAAATTATACTATTTTGCTAAGATTATTGTTCTTGATATATGGTTTTAATTTGTTATTTCATGTCACCTTTTCTATTAGTGGTATCTTGGAAGCATCGTCCACGCAAACGTGACGAAAACACAAATTCGCAACTCAAAATACCATTCATAACCTGAGTATAAAAAAGATCACGTTTTGCTGTACGATAGTGGACAGGTTACTTTAATCTTAAACAATTTATTGTTTATTAGTAGCATTGAGCATGGCACGCACATAATACCTTTCTAGATTAGGAACTTGATTTCACAATCACCCTTGATCAAGTTTTACCGTCTGGTTAGTTGTGCGACAGGCATTGAAACACGTATACTTTGATGCTGTTGCCACGTTTTTATGGATGTAAAAACTAGGTTGTATAGTAACTCAGTTAATACAATCCTGCTTATTCATATGAACATGATAGTTTTCTGAATTCATTTCAACTCATCAGAAAATAAACCACTAAGCATAAGATTTGTTGGTTAGAAATGCTACCAGATAGTGCTTGGAACAGAAATCATTGATTACCATGCCACAACTTTGTAAATCTTCTATATCGGCAAATGCGAAAAAAAAGCAACAAAATAAATGAAGTCTTGATTCGACTATGTTTTGATGAAATCTCGTTGTTCACTTGAACTTGTATAAAGTTATTTTATGTTATAATACATATTCCACACCACATCATACAGTTTAAGAATAAATGATGACGTTATCGACAACAAAGTATACGAATCTTACTTCGTCCTTAGAAAGTAATAATTCTGGAGGAGGGTTATAGGATGCTATATGTCCAGGTAGAGGCTCTTCAGGAGCTTATTGGTAAGGACGTGGCCGTGGTGGCCGGTAATCAGAAGCAAGCATTGGCAATTTCGACTGCCATGAGGATGTCGTAGTATTCACAAGGTCGTTTTCATTATCCTGATTATTCCAGACATCAGGAAATACATATGTTGATACATCAAATGAACTAAAACTCAACGGTTCCTCATCGTAATCTGTATCCAGCACATCCGGATTTCCAGAAGGCATATACGCACCGTACCTCCGGAGTTCATCTGGATTATTTGGATCGCTTAATGCCCAAGATGGTAACTTTGGAACAATCCAACCACTTTTCATAGCATGAACCATTCTACCTACTCGTCTTCTATCTAACATTCCATGTACCGATATTAATTGTTGCTCTGGTTGTCAGAAGAGGCATCAGACTAGTGATTTCCGAAGAATTTCGGTTTTTATCATAAGGTGTCATGATTCTTCTAAATGAAGATCATATAACTCCCAGGGAAGAGTTTACATGGTCTAAATGATTAATAATAAACATATTTTTGTTATATCCCAATGAGTAGAAAAATTGTATTTCTGATGTTTCGTGACTTGATTTGGCTTACATCAAACCACAAAACGTCAAGAATACAACTATTCCACTCATGTGGACATAACAAAATATATATCACTAACTCTCTAACCAATGCTCAATTTATTTGAAACCATCAAGGTCTAAGTGATTATTTTGACCAGCATTTTTTCGGAAAGGTTGTTTTTTACGGGATGGAGTCACTGACGCTATTGTCCAATCCTCCTTTATCTGGGCTTAAGAAATGGCAGTAACCCTAGGAAAACTAAGGGCGGAGGATGCTAGGAATTTGTCAAGTAACCACAAGGTCATTATTATAAGGCTAATAAAGGTTACCATTACAGCATAACTCTCTGAACATATGTATACGTAGATATTTATGATAATCAAACGAAATCATAACATTCAATGAACTAAAATTGATTCATTGGCCAATCGGACATTTGCCCAATGATAAGTGCAAGATAGTGACAAGCGCATGTTGTTAGTTAAGATTCATTTTGACTTCTTGAGGAAATATACGTATGCTATTGGTTGAAAATCTAGCTTAATTTTCTGAGCATGTATGTATATTTATGAGTGATGGACATTTTTTAGACTTCGTTAGCCAATAAAAGTTCCCGACTCACTCTTCATTTTTTCACTTTAGTAGCAAGTTGGGTTCACTTATAGTACGCGCGTATATTAATATCAGACTCGGGTGACAGCAGACCATAGCAAAAATAATGACCTTAAGAAGTATTTCCTAGACTAGAAGCTTCTATGTATATAGCCATTTAATACGCAGGCAGTTCAATGAAAGAGCTGGCTGTCATGCTACACGTAATCAACATAATAGGTAATAGCAGATAACTGTTCAGACTTGTTAAGGAAACCGGTATTAGGAACCCAACTGTTAGCGAAACAATCGCAGAGAAAGATGGACATATTATTCATTCTCAATCCAGGAGATTGAATCGATGGGCAGAACACTTTAGGGATCAGTTCAACTGGCCTTCAGCCACACTTCGGTTTCCCACGATCTCCAATCGACCTGAATGGCAAGTAGGTTCTCTGACTATTTACGAAGGTAGTTCAATGAAGGAGCTGGCTGTCATACTACAAGTAATCAACAAAATTCACTGAGTATGATATCCTGTGATTAGAGACCTCCCCGATATTCATCTGTGAGCTAGAGAAACACAATCAGCTATGTATCAAGTGAGCACTGTACACTTTGTAGATAGGAACGTAAAACCACAAATCTTAACCTAAGAAGCAATCAGATCAAGAATGAATATGATGAATAATTACCAAATGAGATCAAACAACATTCAGAGCACGATTGTGAGATAGTAAGTATATCAGTATTCCAATCTATCCTTTTAACGTGAGAAGCTTGTTAACCAAATAGCTCACACAATCATCGACAGCTCTGAGATTTTACAAGGTAGTTAAGTTGATTGCTTCCATGAACACGTGTCTGGCACCCCAAGTAAAATGGATCAGTTATAAAATGCATCGAAATTTAAGGATGTTACAGAAAACTACTACTTATCGGTCAGTCATGTGCAACGTGAAGCCTTACACATAGGTGCATCGGTTCAAGTTGACATACCACATTAACACATCACGATAAAACTATCAAGGCAAATCCCAGTGTAGTAGAAGCAGAGACAGTATTAGTAGTAGTGGAAAGCACCAGAGGTATAGAAAAATAAAGTATGAGATTACGGAATTCAGGTTCTGTGAGGAGAATGTACCTACACCTGAACCATATCACCTGAAGTCTCTAGATATTTGTGACAACAATCACGTGAACCCTGAGATCTGGTCAGACACCAGACCATCAAGGCTGATGAGAATTTCAAGAAAAGTGAACCGTTCAACGCATTAAACTGCTTCACTACTTACTATCAGTTGAAGCGTTGACACGAGAAAGTTACGAGGCGACATTTCGTATTTAAATAAGAGGAATCATATCCGTAACATGTTTAAATTGTTGCTCTGAATTTTGTCACCATATTCACCAAACAGGACTTTGTCATCGTCATATGTAAATCAATAAAGTTACAGACTTTATTATAATACGTTATTCAGGTTCTCCAAAGGATGGTGTCGTAGAAGCGATTCAATTACATGGCTACCATAGTTAATACATGATATGTTAAACTTTACACAATCCAACAGAAAATATATTGAAACAAGAAATTAAATCCCCAACTGAGCAAATTGTATTGTAGAGGTGGATGAAATAGGGAATGAGTGGTGGAAAAGCATCAGTAATCAAATTACAGGTGAAAACAACTACATATTCTGCACAAAACATCCCTTCTTACCATTAAATAGATCGAAACTCCCAAACCAATCACAGCAAGAATAGACAAAGCAAAAATAAACCGGAAGGAATCTTGGGTGAATTTGAATTTTAGAGGTTTCGGAAACAGAATTGACCGTACAAGCTCACCCTTGACAGTGTAAAAGCCAGTGCGTGCAACAACAGCCAGAACTCGCTCATCTGCATAATTTCTCGTTTGAATAACAGTTGTACCAGCAAATAAAATATGCCGACCATGAACTTTGATATCGAATAACGTACCCTTTGATGGTGAATCGGGTAAGGGAATTTTGGTAACTGGAACACTTTCACCTTAATTAGAAAACAATATTATTTGAAAATACATCGGGGTTAGTATGGCATTGAACACAAAGTCCAAAGTGAAAATCAATATGATCCAGTGAATTTCGAATAACTAGAACCGCGTAGTATTTATAACTGATATGGTCGGTTTTTCAAATTAGCACTTCGTGTCAACTCTCCGAGCATGAAACATTATTGGTGTAGACAAACACAAAACAATAAAGCGGTCTGTAAATAAGCACAGTATCTTATTTCACTGTGTCTCACTGTACTGAACTGTTTAAATGATGAGGAAGTGCAGTGTGAATGGGAAATCATGTTTAGGCTCTTTGATCATATTTGTTGCTCGGATGAGGGTACTTCTTACTTATTTGTAGTAACGGAAATAAACTCAGTTTGCACCGCAGAATACATGTGTGTAATCCCAGCATCCGGCCATTCAAACACAGTTGCTCTTAAACCCAACACGGAAATCAACTTAACAATATGAAATATTTATCAAGCTCAAATATCCAATATATTTGATACTCCACGCACCCAGATACAAGAAACCATATCATTGAATTCCATTTACTTCAGTGAAATCTCTTGAAAAATCTAGACACTTTGAATTCTCTTTTACAAAACGTTGTCATAAGCCTATACAGTAGAAATTTCATCATCGGAAAAATCGTCTAGAAATGACATATGAATTTCTAATACACAATGTTATTCTCACCACATTACTGTAAAATGAAACAATGGTGGCTACTTTCAGACAAAGTTATTGATGAACACCAACCACACAGAGCAAAAACGATCTCGCCATCATGCAACAAAGCACATTCATCTTTCCGTATTCATTCATATATTACACTGCTTGTATTGTTACATAGTAGTTCATGTAGAACAAAAAATCGTCAATGGTCAGTGAAACCGATTTCCTCTCGAACGACTTTAGTGACGATGTATCCTAGTCCCGTAACATAATATTTCCCAGTCCACAAAAATAAAGAAACACCAAACAGATTATACATTTTGATGTTGGTATTCTAAATAATTCATATCGTATCATTATCAACATTTGTAGTGTGACGAACCACAAACAGTGTTCTAAGGAATCGATGGCGAACCAATGAATAAGCGGTTACTGCACTCGGTTCGCAATCATAAGGTCACAGGTCTAAATCACATTTCAGTTTGGCCTGTCCGGAAGAACCACTACACCTCACAAAAACACCAAGACTTAAGGTCAAGTAGTATGTGAATCTGTACTTTCTAAATAAGGAACACTATTATCATCATGATCGTTATGATTATTGTTATGGAGAGTGCTTGAGCACAATTATGTAAACCCAAAATATATGAAATAAACGATTAGAAGGGATAAAAGAACATTATTTTATACAGCAATCTTCATATGCATTTGTGTATTCACATAAAACTTATCGGAGGACTCAAAAGACTGAGTTGAGAATATGGTTGAAATTACTTTATATATCAATGAATCCATGTCTATAGTAACATTATACTAATGTGACTCACCGGTCAATGTACTTTCATTTACTATACAGTTTCCTGTTAGTAAGATGGCATCACATTGAACCAGACATCCGTTTCGTGGAATTTCAATTATATCACCGGGAACTAACGAAATGGAATCCACTTCTTTGAATTCTGTGAAAATAATTATTTATGAGACATTCCTTCTCAAATATTAATAAACAAATGAATTATTATTGTCTGAATATCTACTGTTAAGGGAATTAAAATAACCAGTTTGGTGAATTGAAAGAACGGTTGGACCAAACTATACAATTGATAAGCAGAGATGGATGGTGGTTAGCAGTGGATTCCAGGACGCGGCTATGTATGTAGTGAAGGAGAACACAGGTGAAGACAACCAATTATATTGAGCACAAAATTACAGTTACTTGATACAAAAGAAAAACCATACTCCAATACTTCATCTGCAAAATGTTCATTAACTGTCTCAAACTTCATTGTGCCTGCACTTCCATACCAATTGCTATCTTTTCCCATTCTTTCTTCCTCAACCTTCTGCTGCCAGACATTCTATTCTTGGCTAGCGTTATATACTACTTATGTCGACATACGTAGCATACACCACACTCGTTCCCCATTTTAGTAAGCTGTTCTCGCAGTCTTTCCGATCACCGTACCGCTGTCTTCTTTGATGCCGTTCGTGACTCGCACTCATAATGCTCTTGAAACCATCTCTGCAGCTGACTGGCATTTACGCGCTTCTGCTTGTCTTCTCTCTGGATCGTGTAAACCGATCCACGTCTCTCCATGATAATGTACGTTACTTCCTACTTCAGGATCAGCTATCCTGACCCAGGTCCCCCTGTTAAGTTACCTACCCATTCTTTACACTTTACCAGGTCCCTCACTGCAAAAGGCCCCCACACTGTCTTTTGCTGTTCCGCTTTCTTTGTCTAATATTTGTTTCTTTCCCGCGTTCCTTATTGCCTCCCTCCTCTTTTCCTAACCTTGTTACCGTCCATTTCTGTTGTTTCGGTCAGGTCTTTTTACGCATTGGAAGTCGTGGTTGTCTACCATACATAAGCAGGAAAGGTGACTTTGGTTGTTCCTTGTATGGAGGCACGATGAACCAGCAAAATTAGTGGTAACTCTTTCTCCCAATCTCCTCTTTTGGAGGCTAACCATTCCTTAATTTTTGTCAAATCACGGAATTTTGTTTATATTTTTCGTTTGCTTAAACGTTAATATTCGTCCAATGGAATACCAAAATATATATGGGCCACACAATAATGAAGTGAGATTGTGAAGAGAGAAAGGAAAGTGTGTATAATAAAACGTAAAAATTAAAAAAATCGACGTATGAAAGCAGAAAATTAAAAATGGGAAACGCAGTTTAGTTGAGAAAAACAAAACCAGAAAGTATTCTTTGAGTTAAAGTAGTTACTCTCACTTTTATGAAGTAAAAGAAAGTTACGGAAGAATCAAAACAGGCTTTTATCCTGAGCCGTGTCTTATAATGTATCAAGCCACTGTAAGACACCACCTCTGGGACCCCAAACAGGGAGTCATGAAGGACTTACAGATTCCTGTCCTGTAAAACTTTCTTTCGTACCACGACATTATGTCACGTCCTGTATTTTATTTATTTTATTTGAAGACATAAATAGTGGTACAAGAGAGCACCAAATATATATATACGCCAAACAAACAATGAGAATGAGAAGAGGAATAAAGAAGGTAAGGAGCGTAAGAGAAAAAAAGAACAATAAAGACCAGATTAGTGTAAGGTAGTGTAATAATAATAATAATGGGAGAAACGGAAAGGTACAACCAGAAGAAACCTTTCAGTTAAGAAAGATACAACCACTTTTTATGACACCAACTGAAGTATCGTCTTCGTACTCGAACACACGTTGCAGAACCTCTGCATTACTAACATGGTGTTGCAAGTGGACGTCATCAATCCTTTGGAGACAACGATGATCAAACACAGAGAGTCGTCTAACATCCTCAACTCGGAGAGGCCAGGTTTCACGAGCATAGGGCTAGACTGCTCTCACCGACGCGTTGTAAAACCGAACTTTTACGGATGGACTAACATCACGAAGGAGCCAAAGATGGCCCAGATCGGCATAAACCGCTCTGGCTTTCACTATACGGGAATTGATCTCATCAGTCACGCCACCACCAGCACTTACACAGCTAACCAGATAACCGAACTTCTCGACCATTACTGATTGCCAAGAGTAAGTGCAGAAAAAGGATCCTGACAGTGTTGTAAAAGTACCTTGCACGTAGAATGTACGAAGAACACACCATATTTACGGACGCTGATTACCAACTGATTAAGTGTGGATTGCATGGCTTAGGTATTATCGCAAAGACAATATCATCCGCACACTTAAGGTCGAAAAGTTTTTCCAGGTCACAAAACTACTACACCATTGCTGACATTTATCAAAGGTGCTTCCAGAACTTCGTCGATGACAAAGTTGAAGAGGAATGGAGAGATTAGGTAGCCCTAACTAATCCCACTGCTTGAATGAAACAATGGAGGTGGTTGTATACCCTCTACCTGAAGTGCTTGTGTGTAGGGCTTTTAAGATGTTAATAAACTCCTCAGGCATACCCTTCTCTCAACAGCCAATTTGCGAACATCAATTCATTTGGAAAGATACATTTGTTGACCACTGAAACGTTAGATAAGATTGGCATAGACAAGGGCAAGATCAGAGTACAGACAGGTACTTCAAAAGGAGCGACAGTCTTGATCACAACCATACGCAATGTAAAATAAAAGCTAATGTTACCGAACAGTTGTGAGTATAATTTGTGAAAATAGGGATTGGAAAGAGCATAAGCTTTTCCAGTTGCAGTAACCATTTGAATTGTGTGTGGGCTAGGATACTGCTCGGATGCCAAAACCGAAGCAGATGGTTTTTAAGGGGCCACTCCCCGAGCAGTTGACCTAGAGATCTAATCCACAAGACATTGGAGCAGTGTTAGATGTGGTCCCATGGCAGCCGGTGACAAAGAATAGGTTCATACCCCAAATGATGCCAAGGGATCCTGGAACTCACGTGCACCACCTGTCTGGAATCCAGGTTTCCCAACTCCCCTAGGTGGATCCTCCATACCCACCAACCCGGTTAACGCGCCAGATAAATGCTTTTCGTCCTCCCACTTTCATGAACAATGACCCCACCGCAAGAAGGCAGTGACGGCGGCCATACACGTGTGGCCACATGAGGGCATTATGAGAGGGAGAGCGGACTCTCCCTAACCTCGAACGCACCAGGGCATTTAGGAGATATTACAAATCCTGTGAGAGTTCATTGTATTAGTTCACACTACTAGATAATGAGTGTTTTTCAAACAGTGCATTATTCAAACGACTGTATTATAGTTAGGTAAAGCAGACATTTAACAATTAGGAAAGTTACATATCTCTTACTACACAACAAAATATACTTTCCACTTCTACACAAATCAGGAATGCTCTTTTTCTATGTTAAATCTTGATAATAATGATTACTTTGTGACGTTTCCGGTTGGTCTACAATACTTTTGGATTAGGAAACACTTAGGGTATTCTCTAATACGAACAGTTCTATTGTGCACCACTAAACAACAACTAGCCACAAACATAAAAACATAAAGCCTAGAGGAAACTTGATATTCGAGCAGAATAAACAGAACTACTAACACTCAGAGCAAGTAGTAGCGAAAGTGTGACGTTGAAGCACACAGAAAATTAGGGAACACAAAGTAGTGTTAGCGAATCAGAGAAAAGCAAAGATCATGAAAAGGACTGAATTTAAATAAAGTACTCTCGGTTACCGTTACTAATAAAAAGTTAACACCATTAACAAAAACTGAGTAATTTCGTGATTAGCTTAGCACTACATCTATATGATAAATAGATAAAGATCTCATTGATAGTGTTAATAATTCAAATTTAGGAAGACGGACAGTTAAAATTCCCCATCAAATACCAGAATATCCACATCATGGACGGCCCATTATTTTTGACAAAAAAGAAAAGTGCTGACACATGACTTAGAACAATTTCGAGGTCAGATTTTACGGAGGTTCATGTCGAGAGTTTGTCCATCGTTATCTCTAACTTGCTAACTCGCAAAAACACACCATTTGTATCTTACAAGGAAAGTAACTACATAACTGGTCCGCTGTTTTATAAACGTAATTCAGTCTAACTAAATCATATTCATCAATACAAACGAATACATTATTATGAAAATTGGTAGAATATGAAGCGCATTTAAAAGTCTGCAAAATATGCAGACATATGTTATAGACATCTAATTTGTGCAGTGATAATTCCTTTTGAGTAACTGAATAATCAAACAGGTACAGGTCAGGTAAGGCTCATAAATAATTATCTGAGACCACAGCGACAAATTGCCTTTATGGTGTATCACCATCACTATTACTATTATTATTACTTTTACCGTTAGCTGGACGGAACTCTTAAACCCTGAACAACAGACGTGCTTTCTTACGATCAGTAAGTCACACTGATTAGTTAACTTAAAAACGTCACTAGATCTGTGATTGAGTATGGAGGATTGCCTTAACATGAAACAGGTAAAGAACCTAATCAGTTTCTTATCAATATCAGGTGATAAAGCTCTTATAGTGTAACTCATTTATGCTATGACTTTACTTCGACTACGGAACTGGATACTATCACAATGTTCATCCAACGTAAATACGCTTCAATTGAATATGTATTATCCCCCCTCACCAATATCTCTTGATTTAGCCCTCAAACTACGGAGAAATTAAAACCAAGTCGAAGGTTTCTTTCTTTCTTCAACCGACAAAAAAACATGAGAAAGTGTGTGAAAATCTATGCATCTAAGAGTCATAGATAATTAACCATTTAGATTGAAAATTTGAAGATACTCAGGCGACCTAAAAATTATTAATGTCGATAAATCCCAAGTAACCTTTTCGCTGATTTAGCTCAATTTTTTGCGAAACGATACATTTTCCAACGATCTATCAACTACAGGCTTTCATATTCGGTTTTAAGGCACATATTCTGTGTATGAGCCAACAATACCATAAGACCGCCTGCATGAAAATACTCTGAGGGCGGTTCGAGCCAACTCAATCATTGAAAGTCGAATCTTTCAACCACTAGGCTACTGCACAATAACGTTAGCAATCAGAAATCATGGGTCGCAACAATCAAACGAACGGAATCTAAGTGTAGTGAACGAGAACACAAGTGCGGACAACCAAATGTATTTCAACACAAAATTACAGAATCTCTTAGTAAAATCTGACAACCATACAGTAAATGCTTCATCTACAAAATGTCAATCAATTGTCTCAAACTTGACTGTTCCTTCTGCAAATGTCATTCAACCGTCTCAGACTTCATTGTTCTCTTGATTCCACATCAATCATTCTTTATTCTCGTTCTCTTTCCTTCAATCTTCTTAACCTTCTGCCTCCATGCATTTCACTTTCGATTGATGATACATACTACTTATATCTGTCGACATCAGTAGCACACACCATACAAGTTCAGTCATTATACAAGTCATGAAAAGGATTACAGAAAAATAAAATATGTGCATACCTTTAACCCCATCTTCCTCTCGATAAACGATTGCAGAAGAGGATATACACATAGTTTCTTTAAGAGTCCTTTCGTTCTACAGAAAAAGCGTTTTGTTACAAATGGGGAAATGCAAGTATGCAAATAGAGCATTATTAGCATTGCTTCAAAACATTCAAATACAAAATTTTCACTGAGGAATTATACAATGTTCTATTATTTCAACATTCAATGATTCCATATGTGAATCTACTACACAATACTGACAAAGAAAATTCACTGGATCTAAGGAAACGAAGGAAGAAACTGCTATTTGATAGTTACTATAAACACATACGTCCTGTCCTACAAATGGTATTACTTTAAATTCGAATATTTCCCCATGGAACAACGTACCATGTTACCCAAATATTTAGGATCAAGCTATCCTCATCACTTTTATCAAAATCTTATGGCGAAACCGTTATGAATTAATTTATCACTTTGTAAAGCAACTCATTTAATTTAGTGCGATAAACGCCACAAACAAATTGTCATACATATACACGGTTTAGTGTGTGGCGCAGTTTAGCCCTTCATAAGGATTTACGACCTCATTTATGAATTGATACAATTGTTGAGACTAAATCCAACTTATATCTAGTAGCCAAGTATAAAAACCTAACATAGATCGATATATGAAGATTTTGGCTCACTGGACATTTATTGACTCTTAGATATCATTTCATTTTCATAGGTTATACTACTGTGGTATAGGCCACTGATGTCGACAAATATAAGTAGTATGTATCATCAATCGAAAGTGAAATGCATGGAGGCAGAAGGTTAAGAAGATTGAAGGAAAGAGAACGACAATAAAGAATGATTGATGTGGAATCAAGAGAACAATGAAGTCTGAGACGGTTAAATGATCTTTGCAGAAGGAACAGTCAAGTTTGAGACAATTGATTGACATTTTGTAGATGAAGCATTTACTGTATGGTTGTCAGATTTTACTAAGAGATTCTGTAATTTTGTGGTGGAATACATTTAGTTTTCCCCCCTGCTAGTTTTCCCCATTAGTGTTCTAATCACTACATTACTACCAGGCTACACTATTTAAATTAATGTCCTGATAATAAGAGCATTCTATAGACCACTAGACCATTACATCAAGACAACACTATCAGTTATTAAAAACTGTCAGAACAAGAAAGTAGTTACTTACTCTACGTAGTTCATAAACTTGCCATGATAGTGACATAATTGAAATAACAACAATACAAGTAGCGTACATCCAGTACTCATCAGAATACCACAAAATACAACTGAATATTTGGAAACAGTAGAATGGATTCAAGCACTAAATAAAAACAAAGGATAGAAAAACTAATTTGATATACAAAGCATAACAACTGCGTATCCAGTACCCATGACCAAATCAACCTTCAAATTGTACAAAACTATCTAATGTGTAATCTGACCAACATACCTCATCAAGTAGTAGCCTGAAAATTGAAGTAAGACTGATACTTATTTCATTCGATCCATACAACGCACGATTCATAAGGACCGTTTCGTTATTCAAAGGCTTAGAATCCAAAATTTCTTCATATGTAGTTTCATGCCAACCCCTAAAATTCGAAAGAGACAAAATATTCTTTACAAGTTCCATTGCATCTAATACACGCAATATAGCAAAATTACTTTTGACAACTTCTACACTGTGTACATATTAGAATCTCCCTACAAGCTTCCTTAAACTGTTTATTCTGGTTAGAGTTCTTTTGGCAAGATTGTTTTCTACGGGATGGGGTCGCCGACCCCATGTCTAATGCTCCTCATCGACCCGACCGGCAGTAGCCTTAGTAGGACTACAGCCGAGGCAATGAATTTAGATTTAAAAGTAACTGCAAAGATGCTCCACGTTCTATTCAGAAAGATTTGAGAAGAAGAATAGTGTCGGCAGAGTGGAGAGAAGAATACCTCATCAACATACCAATGAAAGGAGATCTGAGCAAATGTGAAAACTACAGAGGCATTACACTACTGTCAGTACCAGGAAAGGTTTTCAGCAGTGTTGTTGAACCGGATGAATGACTCAGTAAACGCCCAAATTCGAGATCAACAGGTTGGATTCCGTAAAGATTGGTTGTGCACAGACCAAATCGCTACACTTTATATTATTGTTGAGCAATCAATTGAATGGAACTTGTCACTACACATCAACTTCCTTGACTATGAGAAAGAGTTTGACAGTGTGGATAGGAGAACATTATTCTTAAATATGGTGTGCCTAAGAAGATCGTCAACGTCATCTGGAGGACCGAGTTCAGACTTGACTAGTTACTTTCGCTCATCCTCCTTCTTCTGATAGTCAACCGGATTGGACAGCTTGTATGCATTTAGACGATTTGAACTTCGCAGATGACCTAGCCCTTCCATCACATATACAGAGACAAATGCAGGTGAGAACGGTCAGTATAGCAGCAGTCTCTACTTCAGTAGGCCTCAACATACACAAGGGAAGAATCAAGATCCTGAAATACAACACAGAGTGCAGCAACCAAATCACATTTGATGGAGAAGCTCTGGAGCAGGTGGAAATGTTCACGTACCTGACCAGCATCATTGATAAGCAAGGAAGATCTAATGTAGATATGAAGGCAATGATCGGCAAAGCAAGGCTAACATTCCTAGAGCTGAAAAACATCTGGAACTCGAAGCAACTGCCAACCAATATCAAAGCCAGAATCTTCAATACGAACGTCAAGACAGTTGCATTGTACGGAGCTGAAACTTGGAGAACTAGCACAATCATCATCAAAAATGTATAAGTATTAATAAACAATTGTCCACATAAGATACTGCATGTCCGTTGGTCGAATGCTATCAGCAACATCCTACCGTGTCAGAAAACAAACCAACTTCTAGTTGAGGAGGGAATTAGGAAAAGACTCTGGGAGTAGATAGTACAAATATTGAAGAAACCATTAAACTGCATCACGAAGCAAGCACTAACTTGGAATCCTGAAGGGAAACGAAAAAGAGGAAGGTCAAGGAAAGAACACACAGGTGGAGAAAATGCCTGATATTTAATGAATTCAAATCTAAATTGGAACTGTGTGATGAATATAACAACAAGACACGACCTTAAGACACAGGAAAATAAGTAAACTTAGAGTGGTAGTGATCAGTCAGAGAAAAGCAATGATCGTTTAGAAGTAAAAATTAGAGGAAATTTCATTGTGGTTACCATAACATGAAGGAATTCGACATTTACTGACAAAAACCAGGTGGCCTGAGGTATCCCTACCAAGATAGAGAAGGAATGTATATTCAATTGAGACTTTTAACCAATTGCTTTTTGACCAGAGATTACTATTTCCTCATGGATCCATAAGGAGAGGACTAAAACTCCCGAAACGACCCAGATCGAGGACGTATCTTCGGGTGACCGACCCTAAGCCTCGTTCAAAACCACCGCTTCACCAGTCAGTAATGTACAGCGAGGTAGAGAATTGCTGAGAACACGTAAATCGTCTCCTAAATAAGTAACTCTTGTGAAAACTCACAGCTTAAACCATTTTACTAGCTTTACCAAGTCCTCTACGTTTAACGTAAGCGTTTTTCAGTTAACATCCCACCATATACAAAAAATACCTCAAAGACACTCATAATCAACCACTGGATACGTACATGTGCCTTATACACTGAAGTCAAACTTTTCCACTTGTCCTCATGCATATTCATTAATTAGCTGAAGAGTGTAGTGACATACTTTTGTCAACAGAACGCGATTGGTTCGATGAAAACAATTATTATTATAACCAATTGTACCAGTGACTGTTTTACTGTGCTCGTTTGTTTAACTGTGCTAATAACAGCCATTATACTTACTCTCCCGTTGACTTTGAACTTGTACGAATCCGGTTACGCTCAGTAACCACGCTTGTACTCCTTTGGCACGATCTCGGTATTCTTTCGATACCACGAGATCGCCAACAAATATATACGACTACTACAACCATCTGCCTTCTGATATTTTGGCCTACCGGGATTTTATTGGTCTATTGGCAAGTAGTCTGGTAGCGGTGTTCATAGTTCAGCTCAACTCGACACCACGCTACATTTGGTGAGCCAACTATTGGAACACGCCTCAACCTCGGTCAAATCTTTCAAAGAAGGCAATTCGGTGAGTCTATTGTTTTATCTATCCACGTCTGTCATATATTTTCATATTAATTTTTAATATGTATATTTGACATGACGGATAACGATAAGAATAGTAATAATATAATAGACTCCGATGTACGCGTACCGAATCCTCGGAACTTTTTATTCGCGTGACGATAAATTCCACGCCTTATTCGAGAAATTCCCCAGATTAACTAAACCATTCGAGGAGATTTCATCGGTGACCAATCGTGTGGTACACCACATAGTCACCCGCGGACCACCAGTCACGGCAAGACCACGCCGACTGGCACCGGACAAATTAGCCTTCGCTAAACGTGAGTTTGACAATTTACTATCTGCTGGTATTATTCGTCCTTCTCACAGTCCTTGGGCCTCTCCTTTACACATGGTGCGCAAAAAGGATGGGGTTAGTTGGAGACCTTGCGGCGACTACCGAGCATTAAACGTAGTTACGCGCTTTGATAGCTACCCCATCCCCCACATACACGACATCACGGCATCGCTCAAGGGCACGACTATCTTTTCTAAAATCGATCTGGTACGAGCATATCACCAGATCCCAGTCGCTCTTGAAGACATCGAGAAAACTGCTATCACGACTCCTTTCGGTCTGTTTGAGTTCCTACGAATGCCATTTGGATTACGGAATGCTGCTCAAACTTTTCAAAGGTTTATCGATAGCATAGTACGAGACTTGGATTTTGTTCACGTCTATATTGATGACCTGCTGATCGCATCATCAAACGTAGATGAACATTATCAACACCTTACGCTATTATTCCAACGTCTTTCGGATAATGGAATAATAGTCAACCCAGAGAAATGTGAGTTGGGTAAATCAGAAATAATATTTCTGGGTCACATCATCAGACAAGAGGGTATTCTGCCTTGCGAGGACAAAATTCGAGCAATCAAGGAGTACAACGTGCCGTCCTCAATCAAGGAACTGAAGGCTTTTCTCGGTTTGGTTAACTTCTACCGACGTTTTATCCCTCACGCGGCAGAACGGTTACGACCACTAACCGATTTACTACGCGGTAATCCACGCAAATTAGAACTGAACGATACCGCACGTACTGCATTCTCAGAGATCAAAACGGCTCTCGCCGAAGTTACACTCCTCGCTCATCCTGACCCATCAGCCACGCTTAGTATAGCGGTTGATGCATCAGATTTCGCTATAGGAGCCGTTATGCAACAGAATATCTCCGGTAGTTGGCAACCCCTTGAATTTTTCTCACGACGCCTTACTCCCACGGAGACGAGATATAGCGCTTTTGGTCGCGAGCTGCTTGCAGCCTACTGCGCCATCAAACATTTCCGGCACGCAGTAGAAGGACGTCAATTCATTTTATTCACCGACCATAAGCCCTTAACGTATGCCCTGCATACCAAGTCTGACCGCTACTCACCACGAGAGTGCAGACATTTGGACTATATCTCACAGTTCACGACAGACCTTCGTCACATTAAAGGCGAGTCGAACTATGTTGCCGATGCTCTTTCACGTATCCAGACGAATGCAGTTACCTTACCGGTGCTCGATCTTCCTGCTATGGCCGCCGCGCAAGCAAACGATCCTGTCTGTACAGAAGCACCACAATCTTCGTCCCTTCAGTGTCAGGAAGTACCCCTAGCTACTAGCTCAGGTACCATCCTATGTGATATTTCTACCGGTCTACCTCGACCCATCGTACCCTCTACCTATCGCCGTCTCGTCTTTGATGCCCTTCATGGATTGTCTCATCCAGGTATCGCAGCCACATTACGTCTCATCGCTGCACGATACGTCTGGCCGTCCATGAATAAAGATGTTCGTATGTGGGTAAAGCAATGCTTACAGTGTCAACGATCAAAAGTGCACAGGCACGTAGCTGCCCCCATTGGCACGTTCGCTACGCCTGATGCTCGCTTTGATCACGTTCATATAGACATTGTAGGACCATTGCCACCATCGCATGGGTATGATCACATACTCACGTGCATTGACCGTTTTACAAGATGGCCCGAAGCTATTCCCATCACGTCTATCACGGCGGAGAGAATTGCTCACCGCTTCGTAGAACGATGGATAGCATTGTACGGTTGTCCCTCGACTGTCACGACTGACCGAGGACAACAATTTGAGTCCGCATTATTCTCCTCACTGACCCGGCTGCTTGGTACGGAACGCATACGCACCACCGCCTACCATCCAGCATCGAATGGTTTAGTCGAACGGTTTCATCGCCAACTTAAAAGTGCTCTTCGAGCACACGAAAACGACAATTGGTACGAAACCTTACCGCTCGTTCTCTTAGGCATCAGAACGAGTTTAAAGGCAGATATCCAATGTTCCGCCGCTGAACTTGTATACGGCACGACATTGCGTCTGCCTGGGGAATTCTTCACACCACGGAGCAGTAATGATTTCGGTAAATCAGACTACGTCCATCGACTGTCTGCATTTATGCGAACGCTGTCTCCGGTGTCAACTCGAATACAACATCGACAGGTCGCTCTCCCTCGAGAGTTATCTACCTGTTCACATGTTTTCATACGAGTAGATTCGGTACGCAAACCTCTACAACAGCCTTACGAAGGCCCTTTTCACGTGATCTCTCGTCACGAAAAGACCTTCAAGGTTGATCGACACGGCCGCGTCGAGATCGTCAGCATTGATCGTCTCAAACCAGCACACGTCGATGACAGTGCCCTACCCGATAACTTGGGACTCAATGCTAGACCTATCAAACCTTCTAGCGGGATCTCTACATCTACCTCGGATCCCACGCTAGATACATCAGAGACCTCGTTCTCACGTCCCGGTCAACAGCACGCGTCATCTGCACCATCTACGGACGAGACTTCCGTCTCACGTCCAGATCGGCAGACCACGCCGCCCTTGACCTCGGATGAGATCGCAGGCTCACGAAGTACGAACGAGACCACCGTCTCACGTTCCGGTCTTCGGGTACGATTACCCGTACGCTTTCGCGACTAAACGCAGTCAATAACGGATACGGTGTAGGATTATTCCTATACTACACGCATGCTACACTTTTTTTTTGATTTTTTTTGTATCCTGAGCCCACGCCTCCGACCATCGTCCATTTGATAACGTCGACTTCAGTCAACTTTGGCGAAAGCTGGTTTGGCCACCCACGCTTTAGTCAACGCACTCAGTCGATTATCTGGTCTCGAATTCGCCTGGCATATGCTTGGTAGTTATGGTCGCGTCCGGTTTCTTGGCTCAACGTGGTTTCGTCCTACGTCTGCAGCGTTTTCTGGTTCACATCCCTACGAACGCAATCATCAGATTCTGGATACAAACCACTCTGGTGTGGTATGCTAACTCGACCAACAAATACAGCACACTTCTCCTGGTACCGTTCTGCGCAAAAGACTTTCGTTGGCAACTCGAGGATCAATGATCACTTCCTGTTCCGCCAATTTCCTCCGTCCTACAACCGCAATTCTGCCGATCAGTCCCACGAATCAAACCGCTAACTATCGAAAGTGTAAACCCTTTCTAGCGGGGGGCTCCTGTAGTGACATACTTTTGTCAACAGAACGCGATTGGTTCGATGAAAACAATTATTATTATAACCAATTGTACCAGTGACTGTTTTACTGTGCTCGTTTGTTTAACTGTGCTAATAACAGCCATTATACTTACTCTCCCGTTGACTTTGAACTTGTACGAATCCGGTTACGCTCAGTAACCACGCTTGTACTCCTTTGGCACGATCTCGGTATTCTTTCGATACCACGAGATCGCCAACAAATATATACGACTACTACAACCATCTGCCTTCTGATATTTTGGCCTACCGGGATTTTATTGGTCTATTGGCAAGTAGTCTGGTAGCGGTGTTCATAGTTCAGCTCAACTCGACACCACGCTACAAGAGCACCATAAGTATAAATATTGAGGTCTGTCGTACTACTTGATACATGATTTGGAAATCGAATTTTAACATGCAGTTTGGAGTGAAGCTTTAGAAGGGGTAACGCTTTGTAAGCTTGAATCATTATTGATATGGGAGAAAATTAAGCTGAATGCGGAGGATTGATAGTATGAACAAAACTGAATCTGAAAAAGGATGTGGGTTGGCAGTATTCATAATACCCGGTCACTCATGTTGTGAAAGGATATTTAATCACCAGTCTGTACCTATTAACATGGCTAAGTTCACTGACAATCGAACCAGCTAAATATCATTTACAAAACAAGTTGTTCCTGGTGAGAGAAAATGTTCAACTGATAAAGACCTCTTGATATGCACTGGAGGCGCTCAGATAGGGAATTCAAAATTTATTCGGACAAACGTTAACAAGAATCTAAAATAGCGATCCAATAATTATCACTATCATTTTTTAACTATAAACTCCTAATCTATATTCTGTTTGAGTAAGAATATGCTATCCGCGCTGTAGCTCTATATAAAAGCTTAAAAATACTTACGCAACGAATAACTGTTTCCTACGTATATGTAAATTTTCCAGGCAACACGACCGAAATTTGTGCAATACAAAAGCAACAAAACTATAACTATGAGGTAATTATTTGAAAAGAAATGTAGTCCATGGCTAAATGATAATCAAAAAATGTTTGTAGAAATACACAAAGCCGAACAGTGGCAAACCCGGAGCCAACAAATGAACCAGCTATTCGGGAGCTAGGATAAGTGTATGATGGGTATCTAAGAACACCTCTATCTAGTATTAGACATCTATATACCCATATATATTTGGTGCCACCTTGTACCAATATTTGTGTGCAAATAAATAAATAATATATACCCGGTTGAGTCTCCTAAATGTGTAGAACCACAGATATTACATTAGAATTTGAACGAATAAACTGTATTTGGAAGGAGTCAAAACAATTAAACATCTTATCATAAAAATAAATAAACGGTACCGATCGACAACCAAAAACTATTGTCATAGATAAACATTAAAAGATGGGCGTAAATCTCACCTTGGGAGCTCAAAACGATTAGTCTTGCTGTCCCATACATACTTTAAACATTTGTGAACAAAGTAACACATCATATTGCCATCCTAAATAATAGAATTATTACAAATATTTACTAACATTTTCAGAACATGACACTTGCGACAGCATGAAAGAGGCAGATTTCTGAACGTACGAGTGCTTAGTACAACTGCTAAAATGGGTGAGAAGACTCATGTTATTCTTACTTTGTTGTTCCAATTACTTCAACAACCACGTCATGTATGTAGCGAACACCGTGGACATCCTGCAAGAGAAATTTAGTACGTAGTTTATATTTTGTTATAGGCTCATGAAGCCTAAAATGAACGGGGACAAGCAATTACTTTGACAAGTATCTTCTCGGCTTTTATTAAAGCGCATTCCTTATTCATGCATATCAGCATCCAATGAGGGAACCAGTGAAACACTAGTCTCAGCAGTCCACAAGTTAAAACGATGCCAATGTACATAAAGATGGTCCGTACGTATGATATCGAATAACCCGTAATATCCTTGATTTGTAAACACGAAGAAATAAAGAAACATACCACCACATTATCGTTAAGTTCATTAATTTTTTGACGTTGATCTTCCTGAGTCCAATCTTTGGTATTTTCGATCGATGCAGGCATCGAAAGTCGATTTATACGTCTTCTTACTAGCCTGATACTAAGGAACCACAAAACTAAAGGAGAAACAAGTGCGATGGAGCCGCAAGAAACGACTCATGTGATAATCACACCGTTACGCTCCAATACAAATTCTTATCATCGAAAGTGTCCAATATGCTCGAATATGTATATTTGTTCACATAATACTGTTAGTATCGCTTTTTAATAGTCCTCAATGAGACTGCGAAAACTGATTTTCCCTGAGATTTTACAATTGGGATCAGTATTGTTCGTTTCAGTGAACTGGATTCTACAGATGTATCATGAAAGCTTCAGTCCACCTGTCGTCTAGTCATTTTAGTCATATAGAAAGTCTGTCGTCACCTAACACCTTTACTTGATTAGTTGACTTCATATGCATCATTTTGCAGAGGAAAATAGATCCCAAAAATAAACCGGTTTTTGGCTGTTCGACACTGATCCTGATTGTTACTGGATACATCCCTACTTAAGTGGTTCAAATGGTTCAAATGGTTGTGGACGGAATAAAAGAAGCTTTCGCTTAATAGGCTTCCGTGTCTAGTTGCAGGGAATCACCAATACCTACAGGCAAGAACCTAGGTTTATTAACGATAAAAGAGAAAAAAAGAAATCGGTAAATCATAGTAAGATACTATCCTTAACCCTTATGAATAGGTCAAGTCGCCTCTTAAAGGACTCCTGGGAAGTTGCTTGGACTAGCTCAGCTGGCAGCGAATTCCAGCATTTGACAACTCTTAAGGAGTAGAAGTTGTGCCTGCAGTCCGTTCTGCTATGTTGTATCTCTAATTTCTGGGTGTTACTCCTTAGGTTAGTATTGGAACTAAGCTTAAGTAGGTGTTTAAGAGGATGTCCAGAAGTGTTAAGGATACTGTAAGCCATTAGAAGGTCACCTCTAAGACGCCTATACTCTAATGGGTAAAGGTCAAGTGATTGGAAGCGCTCTTCGTAAGGTTTAAATTTGAGTCCCCGAACTGATTTCGTGGCTCGCCGTTGGATACGCTCCAGAGTGTCCTTATTCTTTCGGAGCGAGGGAAGAAACACTGTGTTTCCATAATCTAAATAGGGACCAATGAAACTATTGAAGATTATGTGGAAGTTCTACGTCAAAATGACCAAAAATGCGCTTCGATGTTACCAGTGCAAGGTTTGCTCGAAAGGCATTTCTGTCACAGTTGGCGTAAGACTTTAAGTCGTAGGGCACCAGAACTCCTAAATCTTTTTCGAATCGGGATACTACTAGAGAGGAGTTTCCTGAGTTGTAACTGTAATCTGCGACGTGTCGCAGATGAACTACTTTACACTTTGAAGTGTTAAAGGTAAGTCCGTAATCGTCTGTCCAACTTTGAAGTCGAGTCAGATCCTCCTGAAGTGCCTGTATATCCTCTTGGTTGCGTATCTCTCTCCAAAGTTTCACGTCATCGGCAAAGAGCAGTACATCTGACGGTACCTGTTGTGGAAGACCATTTATATAAATCAGGAAGAGAAGAGATCCTAGTACTGAGCTTTGTGGGACTCCACTAGGACATTCCATAGCGTGTGATAAATTGAAGTTTACCCTGATCTTAAAGTGACGATTTTTCAGATATGAAATGAGCCAATCGACTAGAGGTGGTCTGATACCCAATCGTTTGAGCTTTTTTATAAGACATCTATGGTTAACCCTATCAAAAGCTTTTGAGAAATCAAGGTAAATTATACCAACCTCCCCCTAGCGATCTAGGATGCTTGTCCATCTGTCCACTGCAGTCAGCAGGTTTGTTATACAGGAGTAGCCCTTCCTGAAACCATGCTGTTGGGGTGAGAAGAAATTTAAGGACAGCACTCGGTCAAGCATTCACACCAGAACATCTTTGGGTGTTCATCTCTTGAAACTACTATTCAGCTTACACCAAGCGCTTCTCGAAACTTCGATAGGTTTCCGAATGAGTCATCGAGCTGCTTCACTTCTGACTTCTGATTTGACTTGGTTGGAATCAGTTTCATTTTGGAAAGGACAAGAGGCTTGCTGGCCTGTGTTATCCCTGTAATGATGGTCTCTCAGTTGACGGATGGAGCCTCAACCACGTGCTGAGGCAATGGATTCCACTCGTTGATAATTTGATGGGAATGTCGATAGTCAGCTGAAAAGTAATTTGTTCTGGGCTTGTGAACTTCTATGAAGTGTCCCCGTGAATTCTCTCTTTTGGAAGACAAGAAAAATGAGGGCATATCAGGTGAAAATTTATCACTAAGCGATTTGAAAAGTGTAATCAAGTCGCCTCTAGTTCTCCGATATGACAATTGGAATAGATTTCGCTTGGCCAGTCGAGCATCATACGGGAGCTTCGCTATTCCGGGAATCAGCTTAGTGTGCTTGCTCTGAACCCTTTTCAAAAGCTCACTGTTTTTTAAGCAGGGGTCAGCCTCTTGTATGCAGTGCTCAAGTTTAGGAGCACGAACACTGTATACAAAGTCAAAAACGTTTTACAATCAACGTGACAAAAGGCCCTACATATTGACCATAAACTTCTAAAACCTTTGGCAGCTATTGCACAGCAGTGTACAGTAGTCTGTAAATCTTGGATAACGATGACTCCTAAGTCATTGTGTGTCTGGACAACAAGTAGCTCAGCGTTATTCGTCGTGTATGTATCTGTACCCTGATGACCGATATGCATCACAATACACGGAAGTACTAATCGGCAACTGCCAGGTTTGAGACCATTCAGGTAATTTCTCCATGTCATTTTGGACTTCTAACTATCACCCTTACTTCGTATCGCTATCCATATCTTTAAATCGTCAGCATATAGCAAGATCGATGATTATAATAGACGAGGAAAGTCATTTACATACAAGAGGAATAACACTGGCCCCGAAACTGTGCCCTGGGGTACTCCACTAATTACAGTTTCCTAGCTAGACAACTTTGACTTCACCCGTCCTCCTTGTTGGCGCCCAACTAGGAAGTCTTTTATTCACATCAATAGATTGCCTCCAATCCCGACATTTCCTAACCTATGTAACAGCCGACTATGCAGAACCTTGTCAAAAGCTTTGCTGAAGTCAATGTAAGCTACGTCTACAGGTAACGTTTGGTTCCTAAAGGCGCACCAGCTTTCACGAGCCACTAATAAGTTGGTGAGACAGGAATAACCTATCTCAAAACCATGCTGTTTCTCAGAAAGAATCAGGTTTACGTCGAAGTACTTAAATAGCTCTTTCCAAATAATCTTTTCTAAGATTTTACCAACCACAATGGTTAAACTAACGGGTCGGTAATTCTCAGGTTTATGTTTCCTAACTGTTTTAAAGACAGGAGTAACTATGGCGTTCTTCCAGTGTTTTGGTAAACGACCCTGGGTTACGGATGGATTAAAGCATATACATAAAGGGTTGGCGACGAAGTTAGCTGATTTCTTTAGTAGCCTAGGATGTAGTTCATCGGGCCCCGCGGGTTTGCCTATGTCAAGCTCACTTAGCAGATCAAATACATCGAGTTCCTTAATGGTCACATTGTCCAGTGTTTGTGTGGGGGGATTTGTGAGGGCTGACGGGAAGGGTATTTCTATGGTATATGCATTGCTAAAGTAATTCGTGAATACTAGAGCTTTACCAAAGTCATCCTCCACTAAAGATGAAGCAGTACTGTCCCTAGCGCAGAGAGAATTTGGTAAATACGGTTCACCCATACAGCCTGTCACTGATGACTGACATTTGTTAGAGATCCTTAAGATTATTCTTAAAACAAAGAAGTTTCTAAAATCCTGTTCATTGTATTTTTTGAGATTGCTATTTTTCACTAAAAACTCATTTTTAATAGCTATTATTTTAATTATCAAAAACTGGTTCGAACCAAGGTGATTCTAAGAATCGCCGGGGCTCGTCTTTGCAGTCAGCACAAACCACACTTTTTCAATATCATCCGGATATTTGACCTGACTTCTCCTGAAGTTCACATTTACTGTATAACACAGCCTGTACCGTCTGAGCTATTTTGTGCTTTTGATTTTACATGTTTTCTTTTTTAAATAAGAACCGAATAAGTTAACCACAAAGTCTGCGCCTTGATATAATTTAATTCCAGTTACTCAAAGACTCCTTGTACTCTCTACAGAAGAACATAGTTTGGTCTAATCAAATAAAGTATGGTTTATCGGCTCTGCGTTTAGAACAAATGCTGGAACTTTGGTCCTTACATCTTGTGTCACGTTGATAAATATAGTGATTAATAGTATATTTCTTTTCAGATATGCTCAGTATGACTGTGGTTTCATACGGTTTAGTTATAGACCATGAAACAGAAAGGTTATAATTTATGAACGACTTTCGAACGAATCCTAAGTGATTTTGAGAAACGTCAGTTGATCACAAAATAGTTGAAATAATGCAAGAATATATTATACAATACCAAAATATTATGATGGATACACTTCTTTACCATGATTTAAAATTTTTTCGAGGTTGAAAAGAGGCTTTGCGGTTCAGGAACCTTAACGCATACGATACAGGGACTCGTCCATGTGTCTCCAAAAAAGTTGACTTCTGGAGCCATGGTAGGGTCGCAAACATCCTTCTGGCATCAAGCAATCTGCTTCTGTCTTTTTGGTGTGTGTTTTGGTATTATTATTAGTGGCTTCATTTAATATTATATTTTGGTTGAGTCTTCAAATCTTCACTTGTGAACGACGATACGATGCACGTAACCAAGTCTAGATATGCTCTCCATTCATCCGTGTATGTTGTGTTAGCCGGCAGCACGTACTCTCGTGTATTTGATGCCACATTTGTAGCTTATTGGTTTCTCATAATTTGGAAAAGCCTCCTTTGAGATGACCTATCATGCATACCAAGGACGTACTAGGTATATTTGGGGAAGTGCTACTTACACAGTCTTCTCTAGCATTTCTTCCTGTATTGAATTTGCGTTTTCTAAAGACTGTTTCGTTGATTTCGACTATTCTCCTGATTCTTTCAAACGACTGGTGTAAACTTGTCATTTTCATTGCACATATTTTGATAGTACTCATACCACCAAACTGCTGAAGCTTCAGTAACCCCTGCAAAGATTGCAGCCAGTGTTACTGGTGCTTTTATCATCAAGTTTGCAATGATTACCATGATCTGTCTTAGTGTGAATCACGATCGAGTGAATAAAAGTCCCCATTCTATCAGACATTTTACTCCAAAATATATTACATGGAGAAATAACATTGTCACGATAGTTCGCACAATTTCGGGTAGTCATTTGAACACCGTAATCACGCATAAAAGAACTTCTCAGTAATTTCATCTGTTGTGATTGCTCAAATTTAACGCCGTCCTTGAAATCCGCTATAAGCTGATCGAACGCGAGCATTGGATGTTGAAATTGGTGTCGTGACCTTGAAATCACTGGGTCTCTCGCTTCTTATTAGCTCATCTATATATTATAATCTCGCCTTTGTTTTCGAAATATAAGGAGTAGAAGTGTACCATACGGACGATTTGCGGTGACTTACCAGTTATTCAGAAAACGCTGGATAGCTAAAAAACAATGAACAATTAAAAGTGGTGAAACAGTAGTGGGATAACAACTTTAGTCTAAATAATTATCCTCTCATACCAAACTATTCTT